AGCTCGTCTTCCTCGACGTGAACGCCGAGGGGAGGGAGGTGTACATGGTGGCCCCGCCGCGCAGCAGGGCGTGGATACAGGACTACGCGGAGAGCGTTGGCGGCTGGGGCACGCGCCCCGCGTACCTGCCGCGCCAGCCAATGGTGATTGAGGCGCCGGAGAAGCCGTCGATGAAGCGCAAGCGGATGAAGTCGCAGCTGCTGAATCACAAGGGCGCGCCAATCCAGCAGGAGGAGGGGGCGGAGGGGCGCGTCCAGGGGCCGGAGTGCGCGCACGAGCAGCGGGAAGCAGCGCCACCTCCCCCGGAGGATTTGCCCCAGGCAGAGAAGGAGGAGCAGCCGACGGCGACGCCGCCTGCCGGAGCGGCGGGGGCGAGCGTGAACCCACCCGCCCCGTTGTGCGCGGAGAGCCATGAAGCGGAACACGCCGTCAATGAAACCCTCCGCTCTGCCGCCGCGCTGCAGCCGCGGGGAGGCAGACTGGAGACCTCAGCATCTCTCCCCACACGGTGCAACTCTTGGAGGTCCCCTCGCCGGCTCCGCCACGACCCCTACTCCCCCGCCTACGTGTTCTACGCGCATGTGTACACAACCACCGTCTGCCTGGGCGGTGGCCGCTACCGCCACGACCCGTACATGTACAACCCTCTCTGGGAGTCGGCAGAGCCGCAGATGGTGGCTGTTACCAAGGAGCAGGCGTGGGATGTATGACCGCCGCAGTAACAAGGAGAGTGAGAGAGAAGGAAAGCGAAAAAAAAAAGGAGGAAATTGGAGAGTAAGGAAGTGAACATAGGATAACAGCGAGAAAGAGGCGACAAAGGGGAAGAAGCGAAGAACGGCGGGGTAGAAAACTATGAGTGGGGTGGACTTTGTTGGGGGAACTGGTGACTTCCGCGGCGGTGCACCTCCCCGCGCACCCATGCGCCCACTCACTCACTGGGCTCTTTTGCTGGCTCACCCCTTTGGCTTCTCCTCACTCTCCCACAGACACGGAGAATACTAATGAAGAAAACGT